GAAGGCAAAACAAATATTTAAAATGCTAAACTGAAAAATTTCTTTAAAAAAAAGATAACTACCAGCACCTCCCTCTGCTTAACCCATGTTTCCATTTTTTCACTTCCCTCAAAGCGAACATCCTGTCTGTTACACTATAGCTTTGCTTTTAAAGGATCTGATAAAAATAGCTTTAAAAACAAAAATTTTAAAAAATGTTTATAAATAAAAAACAGTCTGCTAATTTGCATGAAAAAATACCCCTTCCACCCAGAAAACTTTGCTTATTGCTTTAAAGGGTTTGTATCCTTTGGAAACAAACTGGCCTTTTACAATTAAAAGGGGAGCCAGAAAAAAAAAAAAACTGTGTTCTGTAAAATAATGACCGCTTTTTGTTTTTAAAGGGGGGCCACACCCCCCCTAAAAAATCTACTCGAAAATCTCCCATGCTGACTTTTACCTTGTCCTGCCCTTTGATATGACATTGCTATGACCCTTTTCACTGATGCCCTGTTGAAAAATGCTGCCTATCTCCAAGAGTGATGGTTCATATTAATTGCCCGCCTTGTTTCTTCTGAAACAGGGGGTTGCTGGTTGGGAATGGACCATTGGGGAATGCTGAGCGTTTTTTGGGGAAAACTTGTAGCACCCTCCAATTTGGGGGGCTCTAGTTAATTGTTAGCGAGGGGGTAGAATTGGGGGGGCGCAAAATTTTTCGGGGTTTGGGGTTTGAAATTTTTGTGTTAGTTTTTTAAAAAAGGGTTGCCAGTGGGTTTGGGGGTGGGAGGGGGGAATTTGGGGGGGTTTTTTTGGTTTTGGATTGGCCCTTTTCGGGGAAAAAAAGTAAAAAAAATTGAATTTTAAAAACAAACCGCAATTAAAAAACCCCCCCCCCCCTAAAGGGGGTTTTAAGCCCAGAAAAAAAGGGGTTAATGGGGCCACCAACCAAAAAACACACCCAACCCTTAGGTAGTGGTGGCCCCTTTTTTTTTCGACTGAGCCAAAACTCGCCAAAACCACGTCATCCCCATTTTTTTTATTAATTTCAATCTTGTACTTTATCCTTTTTTGATTTTTTCACCCCCTATTGAATTCATTCTCCCATAATCTTTGTAATTTCATCCCCCATAGTAATTCTTCCCCCTATAGTAATTTCATCCCCCCTATAGTTATTCATCCCCCCATATAGTAATTCATCCCCCGTAGGTAATTCATCCCTTATTGTAATTCATCCCCCATATAGTAATTCATCCCCCCTATTAGTAGTAATCCCCTATAGTAAATTCATTCCCCCTATAGTTTAATTCATCCTCATTATTGTTTTATTCATTCCCCCTAGTAATTCATATCCTCCCATATAGTTAATTCTCATTCCCCCCTAGATAGTAAATTCATCCCACCCCATAGTAATTACTTATTTATAACCCCCATATAGTAATTCATCCCCGTAGTAATTCATCCCCCATAGTAATTCATACCCCCCTTTAGTATTCATCCCCCCTATAGTAATTCATCCCCCCATAAGTAATTCATTCCCCAGATTGTGTGAAATTCACTTACCTTTGCTCCGCGCGTCCTCCTCTCGCTGGGTTCCCGCGCGTTTTGGTCTTCAGGGCGGGGGACTGTGAGTGGAGAGGAGTTCGTCACGCTGCCCCGCCTACATCCGGGCTGCCCGCTACATTCATGAAAGCCAATATTTGCCAGCGGGGCACCCGGGCACACAGAAGATCTTGCATTAAAAGAGCCGCGGATTGCGACCCTATTTGCCTGTCACTGGAGGGCAGGTGTGAGTCCGGGAGCTTCACGCAGAGGAAAGGTGAAAGAGCCGCAATGCGGCTCCAGAGCCGCGGGTTGCCTGACCTAGGGGACACCCGTCTTAGAGGATCCTGGCCAAATCCCCAAAACAGGAGGCTTGCAAGGGGCCATGACAGCCTTTAAGAGTAACTGAGCCGGCTCAGCAGCAGTGTGATTAGAGATGAGCGAATCGAACTTGGCGAAGTGGAATTCGTTTCGAATATTAGAAAAAATTCGAAATTTTTCCCAAAAAATGGCGGCGACATGGTGTGGCGACGGAGCAGGGATCTCTGGGAAGGCGCGCAGACAAGGCGCGCTGACCCATAATGCATTCATTCATGACATGTGATCGCATTAGCCAATCAGCAGCCAGCCAGCCCAGCACTGTGTAATGGTGGAGCTATAAATTGCGGCCATCTTACAATTCTCCATTTGCCTCCGGTCATTCAAGAGAGACAGACCTCTCTGTATTAGGGAAAGAGTTAGGGCCACAGATACTTTAGGGACACAGAATCGTTACTTAGGGACACAGAATTGTTACTCAGGGACACAGAACTGTTACTCAGGGACACAGAACTGTTACTCAGGGACAGACACAGAATTGTTACTGAGGGACACAGATTGTTACTGAGGGACACAGAATTGTTACTCAGGGACACAGAACTGTTACTCAGGGACACAGAACTGTTACTCAGGGACACAGAACTGTTACTCAGGGACACAGAATTGTTACTCAGGGACAGACACAGAATTGTTACTCAGGAGGGACACAGAATTGTTACTGAGGGGGACACAGAATTGTTACTGAGGGACACAGAATTGTTACTCAGGGGACACAGAATTGTTACTGAGGGACACAGAATTGTTACTGAGGGACACAGAATTGTTACTCAGGGACACAGAACTGTTACTCAGGGACAGACACAGAATTGTTACTCAGAGGGACACAGAATTGTTACTGAGGGACACAGAATTGTTACTGAGGGACACAGAATTGTTACTCAGAGGACAGACACAGAATTGTTACTGAGGGACACAGAATTGTTACTCAGGGACACAGAATTGTTACTCAGGGACACAGAATTGTTACTCAGGGGGGACAGACACAGAATTGTTACTGAGGGACACAGAATTGTTACTGAGGGACACAGAATTGTTTTGAGGGGACACAGGGACAGGGACACAGGGACACAGAATTGTTACTGAGGGACACAGAATTGTTACTGAGGGACACAGAATTGTTACTGAGGGACACACAGAATTGTTACTCAGGGGACACAGAATTGTTACTCAGGGACACAGAATTGTTACTCAGGGACACAGAATTGTTACTCAGGGACACAGAATTGTTACTCAGGGACACAGAATTGTTACTCAGGGACACACAGAATTGTTACTCAGGGACACAGAATTGTTACTCAGGGACAGACACAGAATTGTTACTGAGGGACACAGAATTGTTACTGAGGGACACAGAATTGTTACTCAGGGACAGACACAGAATTGTTACTGAGGGACAGACACAGAATTGTTACTGAGGGACACAGAATTGTTACTGAGGGACACAGAATTGTTACTCAGGGACACAGAATTGTTACTCAGGGACACAGAATTGTTACAGAAGGGACACAGAATTGTTACTCAGGGACACAGAATTGTTACTCAGGGGACACAGAATTGTTACTGAGGGACACAGAATTGTTACTCAGGGACACAGAATTGTTACTCAGGGACAGGGACACAGAATTGTTACTGAGGGACACAGAATTGTTACTGAGGGACACAGAATTGTTACTCAGGGGACACAGAATTGTTACTCAGGGACAGACACAGAATTGTTACTCAGGGACACAGAATTGTTACTGAGGGACAGGGACACAGAATTGTTACTCAGGGACAGACACAGAATTGTTACTCAGGGACACACAGAATTGTTACTGAGGGACACAGAATTGTTACTGAGGGACACAGAATTGTTACTCAGGGGACACAGAATTGTTACTGAGGGACACAGAATTGTTACTGAGGGACACAGAATTGTTACTCAGGGACAGGTTACTCAGGGACACAGAATTGTTACTGAGGGACACAGAATTGTTACTGAGGGACAGACACAGAATTGTTACTCAGGGACACAGAATTGTTACTCAGGGACACAGAATCGTTGAATTAAAGAGTATGTCAGACAGAACACTCAGAGGAGTGTTACAGAGGAGGCCATGTTTTAGGAGGAGCAGACGAGGTGGAATTGTTACTGCAGCAGCAGAGGAAGGGTTACTCGAGGAGCACAGCACTAGGGCAGCCAGAGGCCAGTGCTCCCGGTGTCATCCAGCGGTCGTGTCTCCAGGGACACAACCCTGTTCATCGATTGGTTGGGCTCGGTCGTCTCTTCCTCTTCCCAGGTCACTTCTGACACCTACAGCCAACGGTCGGTGGGTACGTCAGACACAAACCGTTAGTTGGCATGGCCCGGGGAGCAAGCCCACTGAAATCACGTGTCCTCTCGACCTGCCCCTGTCCTTTGGTGTTCCTCACCAAGCGAAGTATCGCATGCTGTGGGCTCAGCCCCACTGTACAGTGAGGAAGAGCTAACAGAGGGCGGTCAGGAACGGGGGGGAGACATCCGCCTCTTCAGCAGCCAGGCGAAAGAAGTACTGGCGAGGAGAGTGGCTCGGTAGCCGGTCTAGAGGGACAGGTCTGTCTCCTGACCCACACGCAGCCGAGGGGGCTAGTAGTGAGGCGGGGACCCTAATTGATGATGATGAGGCTGATCGCACTTGGCAGCCTCGTCGTCATCAGGCTATTGCTTCCGCATCATCAGGAGAAGAGGGTGCCAGCTTGGCAGCCGAGCAAAACAGTCGGTGGGTTGGCAGGAGGCAGCATTGTCGCAGCAGTGTCAGTGGAGGCAAACGGCCACGGAGTAGTAGAGCACCAGCTCCACTGCAGCCTACCACCACGGCCAGTAGTGGTGCCGGTCTCCTGCACGGAGGAGGAAGTAGCAGTCAGCCAGTGAGGAGTAGCGGGGGCAAAGTTTCCTACTCGGCGGTGTGGCAATTTTTCGTCAAGCCGCCCGAGGGAAGTAAACGTATGCTGCTGCCGGTATGTTGTAACTCATGTGGCCAGAAAGTACGCTGTGGCCAGGGGGCCCATGTCCAGGCCCATCGCCACACTCTGCCATGTGCCACTTTCAGGTCTCCTCACCACTGCTGGTGAGTTCCATTTTGTCATAGGGGTGCTGGCAGATTACGGGCCTCCCATTGCTGCTGCTGCCAGGCCCGTAATCTGCCATGGGCCCCTGTACCGGGCCTCCTCATGCTGCTGCCAGGCCCGTAATCTGTCATGGGCCCCTGTACGCCCTCCTCATGCTGCTGCCAGGTCCAGAGTCTCTCATGGGTCCCTGTACGGGCCTCCCATTGCTGCTGTCTCCATCGCTCACACACTCTGCCATGTGCCACTTTCAGGTCTCCTCACACTGCTGGTGGGTTCCATTTTGTCATAGGGTGCTGGCAGATTACGGGCCTCCCATTGCTGCTGCCAGGCCCGTAATCTGCCATGGGCCCCTGTACGTACCCTCCTCATGCTGCTGCCAGGCTCGTATTCTGTCATGGGTCCCTGTACCGCCTCTCATGCTGCTGCCAGGTCCAGTGGTCTCTCATGGGTCCCTGTACGGCCTCCCATTGCTGCTGTCTCCATCGCCACACTCTGCCATGTGCCACTTTCAGGTCTCCTCACACTGCTGGTGTGTTCCATTTTGTCATAGGGTGCTGGCAGATTACGGGGCCTCCCATTGCTGCTGCCAGGCCCGTAATCTGTCATGGGCCCCTGTACCGCCTCCTCATGCTGCTGCCAGGTCCAGAGTCTCTCATGGGTCCCTGTACGGCCTCCCATTGCTGCTGTCTCCATCGCCACACTCTGCCATGTGCCACTTTCAGGTCTCCTCACACTGCTGCTGGTGTGTTCCATTTTGTCATAGGGTGCTGGCAGATTACGGGCCTCCCATTGCTGCTGCCAGGCCCGTAATCTGTCATGGGCCCCTGTACCGCCTCTCCTCATGCTGCTGCTGCCAGGTCCAGAGTCTCTCATGGGTCCCTGTACGGCCTCCCATTGCTGCTGTCTCCATCGCCACACTCTGCCATGTGCCACTTTCAGGTCTCCTCACACTGCTGGTGGGTTCCATTTTGTCATAGGGGTGCTGGCAGATTACGGGCCTCCCCCATTGCTGCTGCCAGGCCCGTAATCTGCCATGGGGCCCCTGTACCGCCTCCTCATGCTGCTGCCAGGTCCAGAGTGTCTCATGGGTCCCTGTACGGCCTCCCCATGCTGCTGTCTCCATCGCCACACTCTGCCATGTGCCACTTTCAGGTCTCCTCACACTGCTGGGTGTGTTCCATTTTTTGTCATAGGGTGCTGGCAGATTACGGGCCTCCCATTGCTGCTGCCAGGCCCGTAATCTGCCATGGGGCCCCTGTACCGCCTCCTCATGCTGCTGCCAGGTCCAGAGTCTCTCATGGGTCCCTGTACGGCCTCCCATTTGCTGCTGTCTCCATCGCCCACACTCTGCCATGTGCCACTTTCAGGTCTCCTCACACTGCTGGTGGGTTCCATTTTGTCATAGGGTGCTGGCAGATTACGGGCCTCCCATTGCTGCTGCCAGGCCCGTAATCTGCCATGGGCCCCCGTACGCCTCCTCATGCTGCTGCCAGGTCCAGAGTGTGTCATGGGTCCCTGTACGGCCTCCCATTGCTGCTGTCTCCATCGCCACACTCTGCCATGTGCCACTTTCAGGTCTCCTCACACTGCTGGTGGGTTCCATTTTGTCATAGGGTGCTGGCAGATTACGGGCCTCCCATTGCTGCTGCCAGGCCCGTAATCTGTCATGGGCCCCTGTACCGCCTCCTCATGCTGCTGCTGCCAGGTCCAGAGTGTGTCATGGGTCCCTGTACGGCCTCCCATTGCTGCTGTCTCCATCGCCACACTCTGCCATGTGCCACTTTCAGGTCTCCTCACACTGCTGGTGGGTTCCATTTTGTCATAGGGTGCTGGCAGATTACGGGCCTCCCATTGCTGCTGCAGGCCCGTAATCTGCCATGGGCCCCCGTACCACCTCCTCATGCTGCTGCCAGGCCCGTAATCTGTCATGGGCCCCTGTACCGCCTCCTCATGCTGCTGCCAGGTCCAGAGTCTCTCATGGGTCCCTGTACGGCCTCCCATTGCTGCTGTCTCCATCGCCACACTCTGCCATGTGCCACTTTCAGGTCTCCTCACACACTGCTGGTGTGTTCCATTTTGTCATAGGGTGCTGGCAGATTACGCCTCCCATTGCTGCTGCCAGGCCCGTAATCTGCCATGGGCCCCCGTACCGACTCCTCATCATGCTGTGACGTTGCAACAAGGTGGAATTCAACCCTACATATGTTAACCGCCTTTACGAACAGCGAAAGGCCATCACCGATTTCCTGATGTTACAAGCGGATAAAGGTACTCCCCTGTGTAACTTAGATGTCAGCCATTGGCAGCTCATGCGTGACACCTGCCGCTTGCTCAGGCCCTTTGAGGAGGCCACTATTCGTGAGTCGGCAGGACTATGGGATGAACGACGTCATTCCTCTGTTGCACGTCCTGGAACAAATGCTGTTAACAATGGCTGGCTGGTGCGGTAGACGTGGGCGCACAGATCTCAACGCCACATGACCCCTGTGGGGCAGGACAGGAAGAAGAGGAGGAGGTAGAGGAGGACATTGGTGCTCAGGAATTATTGAGTGAAATGGGTGGTTTTTCCACTCAGCGGACAGGAGTGGAGGAGCAGGAGCATCTGGTAGAGGAGGAGGAGGAGACAGAGGACCCAGACGACGCACCGTGGCAGTATGCTGTGGAGATGGAGGCAGGGAGTCCCTCGCATTCCTTGGCACAAATGGCCCATAGCATGCTCGGTTGCTTGCGTAGCGACAGCCGAATAATAACCATCAGACAGAGGGATGACTTTTGGCTGTCCACCTTGTTGGACCCTCGCTACCGTTCAAAAAATGGTGGCCTTTTTCACACCTGCTGAGAGGGAGGCCAAAAATAACGTACTATAAAAACCACCTATGTAGTCAGTTGGTCTCTGCCTTTCTGCGCCAACGTCCATCCTCAGACACTGTGGGCCCTGTGCGCTCGCGTTCCGCTGCCATGGCAGCAGGGGGAGGGGTGGGGTGGTAGGAGCAGTGGCAGCTCCACCAGCAGCGGCTGCCTCAGTCTGCAGTCGATGATGAGTAGCTTTCTTCACCAGCGCCATTGTGAGGAAACTACTACTAACCAGCCGCAGCAGCAGCAGCAGCATCAGGTGGACCTGGAGCAGGACCTCAAACAACAGGCTTGGGCCTACTTGGACAGCACCCTGCCAACCGAGGTAGACAATCCCCTTGACTACTGGGCAACGAAACTTGACCTTTGGCCCCAACTAGCTGAATTTGCCCTTGAAAGGCTGTCATGCCCGGCCAGTAGCGTGGCATCGGAGCGCGTGTTTAGTGCGGCAGGAGGTATTGTAACTCCGCGGAGGAGGACACGACTGTCCACCCAAAGTGTGTGAGAGAGACTCACGTTTGTGAAAATGAATCAGGCGTGGATTAGTCTGGATTTCAAACCACCAGTTCCTGACACAACTGACTAAATCCGCCATGAATCATGCCCCAAACATGTTAACTCTGCCATGTGCCACTTTCAGGTCTCCTCACACTGCTGGTGGGTTCCATTTTGTCATAGGGTGCTGGCAGATTACGGGCCTCCCATTGCTGCTGCCAGGCCCGTAATCTGCCATGGGCCCCCGTACCGCCTCCTCATGCTGCTGCCAGGTCCAGAGTCTCTCATGGGTCCCTGTACGGCCTCCCATTGCTGCTGCTGTCTCCATCGCCACACTCTGCCATGTGCCACTTTCAGGTCTCCTCACACTGCTGGTGGGTTCCATTTTGTCATAGGGTGCTGGCAGATTACGGGGGCCTCCCATTGCTGCTGCCTGCTGCCAGCCCGTAATCTGCCATGGGCCCCCGTACCGCCTCCTCATGCTGCTGCCAGGTCCAGAGTCTCTCATGGGTCCCTGTACGGCCTCCCATTGCTGCTGTCTCCATCGCCACACTCTGCCATGTGCCACTTTCAGGTCTCCTCACACTGCTGGTGGGTTCCATTTTGTCATAGGGTGCTGGCAGATTACGGGCCTCCCATTGCTGCTGCCAGGCCCGTAATCTGCCATGGGCCCCCGTACCACCTCCTCATGCTGCTGCTGCCAGGTCCAGAGTCTCTCATGGGTCCCTGTACGGCCTCCCATTGCTGCTGTCTCCATCGCCACACTCTGCCATGTGCCACTTTCAGGTCTCCTCACACTGCTGGTGGGTTCCATTTTGTCATAGGGTGCTGGCAGATTACGGGCCTCCCATTGCTGCTGCCAGGCCCGTAATCTGTCATGGGCCCCTGTACCGCCTCCTCATGCTGCTGCCAGGCCCGTAATCTGTCATGGGTCCCTGTACGGCCTCCCGTTGCTGCTGTCTCCATCGCCACACTCTGCCATGTGCCACTTTCAGGTCTCCTCACACTGCTGGTGTGGTTCCATTTTGTCATAGGGTGCTGGCAGATTACGGGCCTCCCATTGCTGCTGCCAGGCCCGTAATCTGTCATGGGCCCCTGTACCGCCTCCTCATGCTGCTGCCAGGTCCAGAGTCTCTCATGGGTCCCTGTACGGCCTCCCATTGCTGCTGTCTCCATCGCCACACTCTGCCATGTGCCACTTTCAGGTCTCTTCACACTGCTGGTGGGTTCCATTTTGTCATAGGGTGCTGGCAGATTACGGGCCTCCCATTGCTGCAGGCCCGAATCTGTCATGGGCCCCTGTACCGCCTCCTCATGCTGCTGCCAGGTCCAGAGTCTCTCATGGGTCCCTGTACGGCCTCCAATTGCTGCTGTCTCCATCGCCACACTCTGCCATGTGCCACTTTCAGGTCTCCTCACACTGCTGGTGTGTTCCATTTTGTCATAGGGTGCTGGCAGATTACGGGCCTCCCATTGCTGCTGCCAGGCCCGTAATCTGTCATGGGCCCCTGTACCGCCTCCTCATGCTGCTGCCAGGCCCGTAATCTGTCATGGGTCCCTGTACGGCCTCCCATTGCTGCTGTCTCCATCGCCACACTCTGCCATGTGGCACTTTCAGGTTTCCTCACACTGCTGGTGGGTTCCATTTTGTCATAGGGTACTGGCAGATTATGGGCCTCCCATTGCTGCTGCCAGGCCCGTAATCTGTCATGGGCCCCTGTACCGCCTCCTCATGCTGCTGCCAGGTCCAGAGTCTCTCATGGGTCCCTGTACGGCCTCCCATTGCTGCTGTCTCCATCGCCACACTCTGCCATGTGCCACTTTCAGGTCTCCTCACACTGCTGGTGGGTTCCATTTTGTCATAGGGTGCTGTATGGCCTCCCATTGCTGCTGCCTCCATCGCCACACTGTGGCTCCACACTCTGGTTTTGGCCCCGTGACTGCCCAAATGAGTGAAGCGTGCGGTGATTCTAAGATCGACGGCACTCATCTGCATGTCATACTGACTGACAGTATTATTTCTCTTCCCCAGCAGACTCCAAGGGCATTTAAATTAAGGGTACAGTGTTCTGCACTAATAAAAAGGCTCTCTGAAGCCTAGAAACACCCTTTTTATAAGTTAAATTCGCAGCGAATATATTCGCATCGAATCGAATTTATTCCTTGAATTCGCCGAATCAGCCGAATCAAATTTTTGAATACTTCGCTCATCTCTAGTTGTGATGGAAGTTGGAAAAGTGAGGCTAGAGAGTAGGAACCTGGAAGGGAGCCCAGATAGGGAGGGACTCACCTACAGGCAGAGGTCTTGGAAGGAGGAAAGCTCAGGACTTCACAGCCCCCAGGTAGAGGACCACCTGTGTAGCAGGGAAGGAGCAGCCCAGCTAGAAGGTCTGGTAGAAGCCACCAACCCACCAGCAGCACAGGAGAAAGGACTGAGTAAGCCTGTATGGGGAAAGAGGCACTCGGGTGGGAAACTGGAAACTGGATTAGCCTTTTACCTGGGACTGTTCACTCTGCAGTGGCAGGCCCTGGATCCCCTGCCCAGGGAAACACCCATTACAGCACGATGAGGAAAGGACTCATCTTAGGTCTTGGGTGGTACAGCAGGAGATGCTGGCTAGCTCTTCAGAAGAGAAATGTTTGCTGTAAAGACTTGTACATAGTTGCTAAGGAGTTTGTCCTCCGTTGCCATTCCCTTGGCATCCCATACACCCCTTACCCCATCCAAGTTCAATTCCCCTAATAAAACTTCAAAATAAAGTTCAAGGACTGGTTACTGTCTCCTGGATGCAAGTTTTTGTGGAGGAAATGCATGTTGCTTTGGTTGTGCAGGACTATAGGGGGACCCAAACTCAGCGACTCCTAAGGGGGTAGAAATGCTACAAATGCAAAACCTCCTCTGACTGGACATGATGGAGAGCAAGACATTAATGCATTGCATTCATGGAAATGCAAAGCATTCTCAGGATGGCGTCCATGCCGATCCATGTGACTATGGACTAATGTAACGATGTATGAAGTATCCATACCTGGAATTCATCTTTAAGTGCTATGCATGTACAGTGTGCTATTTACCTGGTTGCAACAGCTCTGAGCTTAGAACTACTGCGAAAGATGGCAGAGCACATGGGTTAGGATTTGAATCACACACATATATGAATACAAAATGTAAATGATTGATTTAGGACACAGATATTTGTGTTTTGATTTTACAGATCAGAATACAGTACGTGTTTACTGATCAATACAAACTATATGCATCAATCCCATAAAAAAAATATAACTGCATTAATTTCCTTTAAAAAGCAATATGGATAGGAACAATGTGTTTTGGTAGCCGTATACATGGGCCATATATATGAGTGAAGTGTGTCTTGTCAGCTGCCTTGACTGAGTTTGTGGATACTGTTGCTATTAAGAGATAAAGTACATGTTAACCTTAACTGAATGACATTTAGTTTTCTAAACTACTGTGTAACATAAAATAATTGCAACTGTTTTGTGTTAGTTAAATAATTGTTTTTGCATTGTTTTCCTTTGTGTAGCACTACCCCCATTGGAGATGCTTGAGTATTGCTCGAGTATTCCCCACTACTTTGCTGACAGCCAGGCACAAGGTATTTTCCCATAGCCAGGTGCATACACTGTTAGCTTGTTGGAGTCAAAGACCAGTCTAGGGGAGTTGTTTTAGTTGAGGAACTTGGATAGGGTTAGGGGTTGCAGTGGGATACTCTGAAACAAAACTATTCACAACCTGAGGGCACTAGCTGTTTTAAGTTAGATCATTAGGTGAAGTCCCTTGCTGGGAACAGATGATATACTTCTCCTGTAATATGCAGTGTAGTAGTAAAAAAAACTTGAGCAAAGTCCCTTGCAGTAAATGCCAGATAGACAGGGATCTTCGGATCACTAGCCAATGATCCCTTTAGCTGGGCTCTTAGCTGACCAGATAAAAAAAGCAGAGGGGGGTTAACAGCACGAGGTCCCTGAGATCCCTCAATGTCTGTACTCACAGACTTTTGTAGAGCAACTGGCAGCCTCTCACAGAGATACCAGACAAATCAGTGGATTCCCCCTCAGTCAACTTTTAGGAGAACCAGAGCCACTCGTCAGTTCCAGTTTCAGGCCCTCCAATTGCCCACCTGAGGTTTATTGGTAGCAGGTGCCAGGGGACAGGGGACACTGAGCCCAGGATATAAATATCAGCTCCCAGCATGCAATGGGTTCACCCTCCCCTGTAATTGGCCAGAGCTGTATCCATATTCATGCTGTTCATTTTTTTTTTCACTCCCATATATGTTATGAAAAGCTCAAGTGGTTTCCAGAAGGCAGGGGGAGTTCTAGGCAAATTTAAACAACATCAGAGCATCACAAGCCGTCCGGATTAATAGATTGCAGCACCTTGTTACGCAAAATGCCAAGGATATATTTACCTATTCGCTCCCCTGTTAGGCAGAAGAGCAAACTACACTAATATAACTATGTACATCCTAGCATTCATACAATGAGGGTGCTAAAGTTGCATCTCAGTACAGCCCTGGCCAAAAGTTTTGAGGAAACACGTGCAGTCATCATTGCTTTGCACAAAAAGGGATTTACAGGCAAGGATATTGCTGCTACTAAGATTGCATCGAAATCAACCATTTATCGGATCAAGAACTTCAGGGATAGAGGTTCAATTGTTGTGAAGAAGGCTTGAGGGCTCCCAAGAAAGTCCAGCAAATGCCTGGACCGTCTCCTAAAGTTGACTCAGCAGCAGTATTGGGGCACTACCAGTGCAAAGCTTGCTCGGCAATGGAAGCAGGCAGGTATGAGTGCATCTTGATATACAGTGAAGTGAAGACTTTTGGAGGATGGCCTGGTGTCAAGAAGGGCAGCAAAGAATCCACCTCTCTCCAGGAAAAACATTGAGAAAAGACTGATATTCTGCAAATGGAACACAGGTTGGACTACTGAGGACTGGGTTAAAGTAATTTTCTCTGATGAATCCCCTGATTGTTTGGGGCATCCAGAAAAAACCTTGTCTGGAGAAGAAAAGGTGAGCGCTACCATCGGTCCTGGGCCATGCCAAGGGTAAAGCATCCTGAGACCATTCATGTGTGGGGTTGCTTCTCAGTTAAGGGAGTGGGCACACTCACACAGCCATGAACAAAGAATGGTACAGAAACATCCTCCGAGAGCATCTTCTACCATCAAAACACAGTTTGGTGACAAACAATGTATTTTCCAGTATGGTGGAGCACCTTGTCATAAGGCAAAAGTGATAACTACGTGGCTTGGGGAACAAAACATCAAAATTTTGGGTTCATGGCCAGGACATTCCCCAGACCTTAATCCCACTGAGAACTTGTGGTCAATCCTCAAAGAAGGGTGAACAAAAAAAACCCCCACAAATTCTGACAATCTCCTAGCATTGATTATGCAAGAATGATCTGCCAACAGTAAGAATGTGGCAAGTTGATTGACAGCATGCCAGAGTGAATTGCAGAGGTCTTACAAAAGAAGGGTCAACACTGCAAATATTGACTGTTTGCATAAACGTAATGTACAGTATTTTTCGCTCCATAAGACGCACTTTTTTCCCCCCAAAAAAGGGGGGGGAAAATGTCAGTGCGTCTTATGGAGCGAATATAGAGCGGCCGGTCCGGTATTTCCACTGCCGCCGTGTCAGAATACCGGGCCGGCCGCTCAGCTCTACAGCGGGACCTTATAGAGATGACTGCTGACCTTTGGGGAGGGAGGAGGAGCGGGTACCTGAATTTGACAGATACCCGCTCCCACTTCCGTGGAGTTGTTCTTTCATCTTACACGTTCCTCTATCCAGCGGCGCGGTCTTCCCGGCTTCTGTAGTGTGGGCATGACAGCTGGGTGCCAAGTGCGCATGCGCAAGAAGCGGTGCTTTTTGTGAATGGTAAGGCGGCACCTGGGACACATGACAGATTCCAGAAGCCGCCGGACCAATCACAAAGCGCAAGTGCTTCTCGCTCATGCGCACTGGGCACCCGGCTGTCATGCCGAGCGCCATTACAGAAGCCGGGAAGACAGCGCGCGGCTGGATAGAGGAACAGGTAAGATGAAAGAACAACTCTGCGGAAGTGGGAGCGGGTACCTGTCAAATTCAGTTACCCGCTCCCCCCCCTCCCCAAAGGTCAGCAGTCATCCCCTGTACTATCCACAGTCTCTGGTCATCCCTGTGCTGTCCGCAGTCTCTGGTCATCCCTGTGCTGTCCGCAGTCTCTGGTCATCCCTGTGCTGTCCGCAGTCTCTGGTCATCTCCTGTGCTGTCCGCAGTCTCTGGTCATCCCTGTGCTGTCCGCAGTCTCTGGTCATCCCTGTGCTGTCCGCAGTCTCTGGTCATCTCCTGTGCTGTCCGCAGTCTCTGGTCATCTCCTGTACTGTGTCCGCAGTCTCTGGTCATCTCCTGTACTGTGTCCGCAGTCTCTGGTCATCCCCTGTACTGTGTCCGCAGTCTCTGGTCATCTCCTGTACTGTGTCCGCAGTCTCTGGTCATCTCCTGTACTGTCCGCAGTCTCTGGTCATCCCTGTACTGTGTCCGCAGTCTCTGGTCATCTCCTGTACTGTGTCCGCAGTCTCTGGTCATCTCCTGTACTGTCCGCAGTCTCTGGTCATCCCTGTATTGTGTCCGCAGTCTCTGGTCATCTCCTGTACTATGTCCGCAGTCTCTGGTCATCTCCTGTACTATGTCCGCAGTCTCTGGTCATCCCTGTACTGTGTCCGCAGTCTCTGGTCATCTCCTGTACTGTGTCCGCAGTCTCTGGTCATCTCCTGTACTATGTCTGCAGTCCATTAGTTCAGAATTTTTTTTTTCCTGTTCTCTGCCTCTAAAACCTAGGTGCGTCTTATGGTCAGGTGCGTCTTATGGAGCGAAAAATACGGTAATTGTCAATACTGTAAAAGCCTTTGACACTTATAAAATGCTTGTAATTATACTTCAGTATACCATAGTGACATTTGACAAAAGATCTAAAAACACTGAGGAACAGACTTTGTGAAATTAATATTTGTGTCATTCTCAAAACATTTGGCCAGGGCTGTACTGCTGATATCCTGAAGCCTTTTTGC